TCCAAGTCCCGAAGAGTACCCGGTACACAGTAGACACTCAATAAATGTTTGTTGAAAAGATGAATGTACAAGACAGGAGGAATGAGGCCACATACAATCTGAACCTCAGGCCTGGAGTCTACAGCTAGAGAAAAAAAGGTGTTTAGCCGCTGGCGTATCACCCATCTTTCCTGGGGGGCTGAGGTGTGGGTTTCCTGTTCAGCCTCCTCTGGTGTTTCTCCTCAGGGATCAGTAATGGGGACGTGGTGGACTGGATGGACTCGACTGGGGAAGAAGTGAGCCTGTGGCAGAAGATGCGACAGTACCCAGGGTCTTGGGCAGAAGGGACTCTGCATCTGCGTTCCTCGATGGCCAAGCAGAAGCTGGGCTTATGAGTCCTTGTCCTTCTCTGCAGGTCCAGCCCTGTCCAGGGCAAGTCGGAGGAAGTGAAGAAACCAAGAGCAAAGATTTATAATTTTGTGTGTGTGTGTGTGTGTGTGTACGTGTGTGTGTTATGTATGTGTGTGTATAAACATGTATTTCTACAATTCTTACTATGCTAGAGTGACGCAGACTTGTTCCCCTCTTTAAAGCAGGTTCAAGACTAAGGGTCTGTTCAAAATGTTTTTATTTGTGCATAATCTAGCATATTTCCAGAGTCCATGCTTATGTCTTTATGATGTTTAATTAACTTAAAAATTCTTTAAAACATGTTTTTTATCTCCTGTCTTGCAAACCATTTCCTCCTTCCCCAGGAAGCCCTGGCTATCTTTGGCATTCCCACAGGTCTGTGTTTCAAGGTGTGCCTGGGCTGAGGCCAAGGCTCTGGGAAGCAGGGTTGGGTTACTAAGAAGATGGGAGAGAGGTGAGTAGGTCTGCCCCCTTCCTTTCCAATTTCTGTTTTTAACTCCATTTTTACCTTGATACATTTCTGGAACTTGGCTTTTAACTCTTCTTGCTCTTAAGTAGTTTCCATAGTGCTTGGGTCTCATGGTTTTCTTTGAAATGCTAAGAAAATTCCTAAGTTCCTTCCAGCTCCAGAAACCTTCACTAGACCTTTAGGGGACCCTCGTAATGGAGCTGCTTTAGAAAAACACTTTAATTAGGTAGCGACTGACTTGTGGACATGCCCAAAATGGCTTCTCAGTGGTCTCAGAGGACCAGAGTGGCTGAGAGTGAAATGTCTCCCAGGCCGGGCTGGATCTTTGCATTTTATACAGATACAGCTGTTCTTGGAGAACTCCTCATTTCTCCAATAAAAGACATCTTCCCCCTCATATGCCACATCTTTCTTAGCATTTGTGTCCACGGTGTGGTACCACACAGAGTATGGTCTACATACCATTATGCCAGCCAGAATAGCCAAGTACTGTCTAAACTGGCCCAGTGTTGGGGTGCCTGGGTGGCTCAATTGGTTAAGCTGCTGCCTTCGGCTCAGGTCGTGATCTGGGGGGTCCTGGGATCGAGTACCCCATCAGGCTCCCTACTCAGTGGGGAGTCTACTTCTCCCTCTGCCTCTACCCCTCCCCCCTGCTTGTTTTCTCTCTCTCTCTCTCTCTCTCTCTCTCTCAAATAAATAAATAAAATCTTTAAAAAAATAAACTGGCCCAGTGTTTCTCCAGACTGGGCACTGTTAGTACTCTAAGAGAATGTGTTTAGAGAATCTCCTAGTTATTCTGACTTCCTTCTTGAGGTAACTTCAGTTTCTGTTTTTCCTATTGTTTCCTAAACTTGACCTAGATGTAAAGTGGGTGTGATGTGTTGAGACCTTTCTAAGAAGGGTCTGGTGACCTGAGCTTCATTTTCTGAAACTCACTGTACCAAACTGACCTTTTTATCCTTGCACGTGTATCTACACAAAGTTGTTTGTGAAAGGAGTCTATACCAGAGAAGAAATCCCTTTTGGTAGAGTCTGCTGATTTCTCCTATAAGAGGCCCCTAGATCGAGGGCAGCTACTGTGCTTTCTACTGTATGGGTGACCTGAATGGAGGAGTGTTTTTAAAAGGTTTGTTTGGTATGGATTGATATTGTAATGGAAAGCATAATTTGGAATCCTGGCCTGTAACTCGCTTCTTTGTTCTCCAACCCTTGAAATGTGCGTCAATAAAGCTTTCTCACTTGTCAAGTGTTTGCATTTGTTAGTTCTGCTGAGGCTTTTCTCTCTGATGTCCTCACCTACTGCTGCTGCTGTTCAGTGGTTTGAAGGAGAAGAATCAAAGTGACAAATGCGCTTCCTTAACTGTACACTGTACTGATTCAAAGAAAATTTCCCTTTCCCTGCGTTGCTGCCTGATGCCTCTGCTGAGCTCTGATCTATTGACCTTTGTGTTTGGTATCTAGGGAGAGACCTAAGAATCCATCTTAAAAGTGACACCACTTTTCTTTCTCTCTCAAGTATCAAGGGAACTCCTTCTCTAGTTTTGTAGCCCCCTATCACTTGGAAGGAGAGCTGTGTGTGTATATGTATGAGCACAGGGGAAGGAAGATGTTCTCTCCTGTGTTTCTTTCTAGATCCTTTGCTATCTCTAGGAGGTAGGGCCTTTTTCCTTCACTCTTACTATCACTATTTAGTTTTGAGAAATAAGTAACACAGATACTAAGCAACGCATCTCAGAAATAAGGCCCTGGGTTAAGAAACCTGGGTTTCTAGGGAGAGCCTAAGTGATTCTTGACCTCTTGTGCAAAAAGACATTAATATATATTAGATGTTTTTTGTGTACGAAGCTTTATGCTAGGCACATTATATATTATTTCCTTAATTTCTTCCAAGCACCTTATGAAGTAGGAAAATTTCCCTTTTTACAGATGAGGAAAGTCAAGTCCACTGTTGCACAACAGAGTTGGGATTTGAATCAAGGTCTGATTGTACTGTATCATGCTATTTCCTGCAAGGGCTTTATATGTGTTGTGGGCAAAGAGTCAAAGGAAGGGATGACTCCCTTATTCTAAAATCTCTCAAAGAAATAAGTTTAGTCTACAAGGTAGGATAATCAGAATGCTTCGGAGGTTACCTAACCAGCTGACTGAATCAATAGTTTGCGCACGAGTGTGTAAGTGTGTGTATATATATGAAAGAGACAGACAGAGATGGGGATGGGGGTAGATGGGAGGCAGAGAAAGAAAAACAGATATGTACAAGGTTGAGGTGAGGCTTGTCTGGCTGTGAGCCTGATTCTGCTGTGGCCCCCTCCCCCTACTTTAGGAGCCGGAATTTCTTGAATCATAAGGCAAAAGAGACTACAGTGAAACTTTACCTAAAGAAAGCAAGACTGACTTGCCTGACTACTCAGTAAAATGAAACAAAACAAAAGCTTCTCAATTTTTCGAAGCTAGAGGAGCATTTCTATGTGAGAGTCAGGCCCAGGTGGAGACTCAGTTCAAGTTATCATTCATGTTGTCATTTGGGCCTTTGACCTGCTAGCATGCCCTGGCTTGCCACTTGAGGTATAAGTGATCAAGACAAGGCAGGGCATTTATTCTGACTAACATGCAATCCTTGCCTTTGGAACCACAGACCTTGTCTGACCAGAGATTTCCCACATTAGCTCATTGTATTTTGTCTTCTGCCCATAACTTGTCTTTTGACTTTTAAGTTCTTGGATTTCCTGGGAGGGAAGAGGGAGAAGGGGACTTTTTTGCTCCAAGTTTGATCATTTGCTCCATGTCTTGGTCCACTCAGCAACTGCCTCACTTCTTATTTTTGCATTTTACAAATGAGTTTTCCACTAAGCCTGCAGTGGGAACAGCTTCTCTCTGACTCACTACTACCCCCCCTGTGTTCTGGGCTCGTGATTGATCTATGCCCCATCCCTCTTCTTTGGAGAGTTGATCTATACCCCATCCTGGGCTGAGAGCTTCCCAGTTCCCTCTTTCCTCCTGGGTCCACCCCCAAGTCTTGTGTCTGAGTAGGATTATATAGAGAAGGTGAAACCCTAGTCTTTGCTTGGAGCAGTCAGCTGTCTTTAAATGAGAAGTCGAGAAAGTAGAGGCAGGACAGTGTAATATTTAAGAACATGGACTCTGGAGCCAGACTGCGGGTGCTTAAATCCCAACTCTGTCACTTACTAGCTGTCTGATCTCAGGGGAATTGCCTAACCTGTCTATGCCTCAGTTCCCTCCTCCGTGAAATGGGACTAATAACAGAACCTGCCTTATGAGGTTCTTGTGAAGATTTCCGAGTCAGTTGATAGAATGTTTAGAATGGCCCTCGGTACATGGTAAGTGCTCAAGCATTAGCTTAGCCTCACCACTCAACCTGCTTTCTTCTCTCCTCTCATTTTCCATTGGGGACCCCGTAGGCAAAGCTGAAGGAGAAAGGCTGCCGAGTCTTAACCATGACACGGGGTTCCCTGAGTGTCAACAAGAAGGTTCTCGGACACACCGTACAGTGTTGCCCCATTTCACAATGGCCCAGCCTCAAATTTACTTTCAGGCCTGGCTCTTAAGGCTTGACTCCGTGCTGCAACGGCTCCCGCCTGCTCTGTGCTCACCTCTTGAAAGCGATCTGAGTAAGTTAAGACGTGAGGCTGAATTGATCTTTTTTTTTTTTTTCCTTCTCTACTAGTTTTACAGAGGCTTGGAGTGATGGTTTCCGGGTGCCCTAGATCATGAGCTGGGGGCTTCCCTGAGGAAGGGACAGCCCTGGCTGCCTTTTGCTATGGAACTGCAGGCTCAGGAAGAAGAGATTGTTGCCCATGAGCCAGCTGGAGGGGCCAGGACAAAACATTCTGCTCTGGCCTGATTCGTCTTCCTAAGCGGCCTCCCATGGCCACATTCTCCTTACTCTTAGTTGAAGCAATGGTTAACATAACATTTGTAACTCATTCCCCTCAAAGGGCAAATGACAAGCTCAAGAAGGTCTTGAAGCTCCCTCCCACAGCCTCCAATGATAGAGCTCCTCTGTAGGGGAAAATCCAGCTACACTTAACTTACTTACTTGTCCTGGTTGTCTGTTGTGACGGTGCTGCCCTCTGCTGTCACCTCAGGGTAGAGGAACCATTGAAACCACAGCTGGTTAGTGAATGAATCGAGAATTTACTTATCTGGAAGATTTTGGAGAGCAGCGCAGAGGCCCAGGTTGCGAAAAGAAGACTTTCACCCCACAGCCCATTGTCCGGGACCTGCCCCCAGTCCCTGCCTAGCTTCGTATGCTCCTCGAGTGCTACTTAAAGCAGAAACTTGCTTAGGGAGACTATTACACAGCCCTACAAAGGGGCCTGGGAATGTCCCAGGATTGGTGAATCTCACCCACCTCAGAGTCCTGTTGCTAGAGCCGTGGGGAATCATTTCCTCCCTTTCTCAGGCCCCAGCTTCAGCTGACTAGGGGAGCTTTTCCCTTGACCTCCATCCATGCCCTGGCTCACGTTCACTCGCACATGTCCCTTTGCTCCCGGCGCTGGATCAGCTCCTGGTTGCTCAGTAGGTAGTCATCAATGAATGTGAAGATTTCCTCGGGGGTGACAGGTTCCATGTAGCGTTCTCGGTCAATTCCCTGCTTGTCAATCAACACCATGTTGAAGTAGGAGGGAGTGAGACGCTGAAATTGCCTAGAGAGAGAAGCCCATGAGGTGTGAGTGAGACCTTGTCTGGGCTTCATCCCACCAGGCTCTACTACACTCTCACATTTCACGGCTCTACTCATGGACTAATTCCTTCCCTACCTGATCTCTTGTCCCCACCCCCTCTCCTACCTATCTCGAGCCCCTTTGTTTTTTCTCTGCTCAGACCCTAGTCTTGCTGTCCTTTTGCGTCTGACTCTGCTAAGCTGTCCCTTCCTTACCCCAGAAGGAGCAACTGTGTTGATACCAGGCTAGGCTTCCCTCATAGGCCCCCTTAAGCAGGGCTATCACATATAGCAAGGCGGGCTGCACAGAATAACTCCAGGGAGCACCAGTTGTACGTACTATGATGCGACTAGTGTTTTCTGGAGTTGGGCTGGGCATAACCTGCACAACTGTACATGGCAGCCCTGTCGTTGATTAATATTACCTGGTCAAATCTTCTATCTGGAGATGCAAGTTTGCAGTCTCCTTCCTCTGCATGTTTCCCAGGCTCTCCCCTACCTGGGACTGAATCTTTCTGTCCCCACTGAGACTGAGCCCTAGAGGCAGGCATCGTTTATAGAACAGAGAGCAATGATAGCTCTATTGGCAGTGAGTGTATGTGCAGGCGTCAGAGGGGTGATAATGGATAGATAATGAGAAAAGTCCACTTCTACAACCTGTCCCCTATAATCTTCTCTTTGTCCAGGGTCCAGAGGAGTGTGATTCAGATTTTTAGTGCCTAAAAGATGCCTTTTGCTCCTTTGGAGACTGAAGACAAAGAGATGAGGCCATGAGGCAACAGAATCAGAGGCTTCTCTGAGTCACGTTTGGGTCTGAGTCACCTGAGGTGCCTTATAAAAGCACAGTCCTGGGGCGCCTGGGTGGCTCAGTTGTTAAGTGTCTACCTTCGGCTCACGTCATGATCCCAGGGTCCTGGGATCGAGCCCCATGTTGGGCTCCCCGCACAGCGGGGAGCCTGCTTCTCCCTCTCCCACTCAACCTGCTTGTGCTCGCTCTCTCACTATCTCTCTCTCTGTCAAATAAATAAAATATTCAAAAAAATAATAAAAGCACAGTCCAGAGGTAGTTTGGGGTGGAGCCTGGTCATCTGTCTTTTACACTCTCCCCCCTGCCCATTTGATTTTGATATTCTACCACTCTCTGGTTTTACCTAATGCATCCAGAGAGTTCGAACATGAGGCATGCCTCAAGACGGTAGTGTCTGCTGATTCTCCCCCAACCTTCCTGTTGCCAATGTTCTGCCCAGCATTGCTTTCCCCCCTTCCCTGTGGCCTCCAGCCTGGACCTGAGCTCCTCGATGATGTTGGCTGATAGCTGTTGCTCCCGGATGCGCCCCACCTCCTGAGGTGGCTGCCCCACCAGTTCAATGATGGTCACGTGGCGCAGGTCCAGTCCACAGGTGCATTGCTGGGAGAGAAGAGAAGGTTTGATGGAACAGGTTCTTAGACTCAAACCCAAGGCTACTTAGCTGATTCTTCCCGGGGCCATGCTGAGGCAGTGTAGGAAAGGAGGGACTTCTCCCCCAACCATCCTACCGTGGGGTTCAACAACCTCTTTCCTCTGTTGTTCTTGAAGCATTTGCCCTAACGGTATTTCTTTGATCCCAGTGAAATGTACCAAACCTATCACACCATGCAGTGTAGAAAAGCTAAATGTAATTGATAGATTGCAGGAACATAATCTCTCCTTGTTTAGTATTGCATTGGCTTTAACCTACACGGGTCCTTAACAGATGGCTATGGTGACGTTATTATAATGGCTAGTGTTTATTGAACACACATACCTAATGCTTTATAGGAATAAGTGAATCTTTACAACCCCCCTACCAAGGTAGGTGGTTTCATTCCTCTTCTGTAGGGGACAAAGTAACTTGCTCGAGTTGGCATGACAGTAAGATGCTGAGCCAGGATTCAAACTGAGGGCTGATACTGCCTGCTCAAGTGTATCTCCTTACCACTAGGCTACATGGCCAGGGCCTTCCCTCATCTCCAGGATTTCTCCAAAGTAGGGCCAGTGCTCTTTTCGTTACCTTTTGTTGCCTTCCTCACCCTGGGCAGGATACCCTGTAACCCTATCCTGGCTCTTTGTCTTGCAGGGTTGCTTCTTAGCCAGTTACCTGGAGCGAGATTTAAAGCAAGAGTGAACACTCTGGGGCACCCAACCCCTTATTTAATCTTTGGGCTATTCCTCTAGTCCTGACCCTCAGAATCACTGTCCTTACTGGCTGCTTCCTGTTCTTGTTCTTGCTTTCTGTTCAAGCTGAGGTTTTGTCTTTGTCTGCCCTTTTTGGGGGGTGGGTGGGAAATTGCTGGAGGAATGAGGTCCTTTTTGATATGGACACCCAGGTTCATCCCTTTGATAGAGCTGCTGCCATCATGGGCCTCTGAATAGTGACTTACCAACTTCTAAGATTTAACCTTTAGAAATCCCCCTAAAGAGCATCTTCTCTTACCTGGGTATCTAGCCCCTTGAGGCTCCTCAGAGCCATTTCTCTTAGTCCTGTCAGTAACCCCTGAATTCTCTTCAAGAATCTTTTTATAAGACCCAATGGGTATTTCTATTGTGTCTTATCTACCTCTCCCTCCCCCACAAATGGTTCTGGCTAGGTAACTCTTAGTATGTTAAAAATTGTCATGCAATTCCCTAATTTTTCCTTCATTTCTGCTACTATCGTGGTTAAGAGCACAGATCTTGGAGTCAGACTTCCTGGGCTCAGTAAAAACATAGCAGTTTTTAAAATGTGCTAAATCTGTCCACAGTAAAAATGATCACATGTTGCCCACAAAAAGTTTGAGGAACTAGGGTTTGTGCTGCAGAAAGAACAACTGTTTGCTTTGAAAGAGGTAAGGGAGTAACGGGGTGGGCTTAGGGGGTAAGTAAAGGAGCTAAGCCCTACTTAGGGGCTGGGTCTCACCTGCAGCATAGAGATCTGCATTTTATAATATCGGTTGGAGGGATCAGGAGCTGAGATGATGAGGAGTCGCTGTTTCTCATAGAACTGATCCAGAAGGCCAGCGGCAGAGTTGACATTGACATTAATCTTCATGGCTAGGGCAAGAGCATACGGTCAGTCAGAGTATGGCCTTAGCCTTCATCCCAGCACAGGTAACAACACCTTGAGGAGTTGCAGTCTTTCAGGTTAACCCTTTTTGGTTGTTTCTGCCTTTCCTTGGGGGGAAATGCTGAAAGAACACTTGGAGATTTTGAACCCTTCTGATTGGGGGAGGAGTCCCCTATTGGGGGGGGACATTAGCCCTTAAAAATAAACACATATCAGAAACCCCTATTTCCACATCATACACAGTGCTAGGGGACCACTGTGCCGTATATCAGGAGAGATCCTCCAAAGTAGCCCTGATTGGTACGTCCACTCTCCCCAGCCCCTGGTTTCACTCACGGGCACAGATGGGTGGTGATCCTGACCACTGGCGGCTGGACTGGCAGACCCGGGAGGGGGTTCCTTGGCGTTCATAACCTCCATCACAGTGGTATTCACAGGTGGCACCATAGTTGTCCCCTGCCGAGGTGCAGGTGAGGTAGCCATGCTGTGGCGGTTTTAGCGGTGGGCAGCGTCTCACTGTCAGGGAGGAGATCAAGTTAGGGGCTATGGTATCTCTTTTAGGGACAAAAAGTTAAGAGGGTGCCCAGGCTGTGTTTTCTAGACCAGGAGACCCAGGATGATCAGAATGAATGGCTTCTCTGTGTTTTCAGTGGCCAAGGGTGGAGCCAGAATTTTCCTCCTAAGGAATTAAATCTGAAATGCACACAACGGTGTTCACAAAATCTGGAGGTGCAGGTGAGTATACACATTATCATAAAAAAGACTATCAATCTGTAAAAAAAAAAAGTTTGTTTTCAGACTCGGTGGACACCCTGCACAAAGATGACCACCTTACACAATTAATTTTAATATCAAAAATAAATTGGAGAAGACTTAAATATCCATCAGTGGTAGAAGTGTTAAGCAAGTCAAAATATGTTCTTAGAAGTAGGATATTATGTTGTCATTGAAAATGACTTTTGAAGAAATTTTAAAAAGCATGAGAAAACTACTTGTGTTGTAATGAAAGTGAAAAAGGGGGATCTAAGATTGGGTGTTCAGTATGATCTCAACTATATATTTTTTAAAAGTCTATGTAGATAAAAGACTGGAAGGAAAATACCAAAAGATTAACAATAATTGCCTCTGGATGATGGGGTAACAGATTTTTTTCCCCTTTGTATATTTATTTCCAAAATGTTCAACGATGAGCATGAATTATTTTTATAATGAAAAAACCAAATCACAACAATACAACACAACCCAAAGAGGAAGAGTCAGGCAGCCAACACCACCAATTTCAGCAGAGGTCAAAGACCGAGAATGAAGGCTGATTAGATTTGATAATTAGAAGACTAAGAAAAGGAACAAATACAGAATATCTTCATGAATTTTATCAAGATTTAGAATGAGAAAGTCTTGTTGGGGAGTCAGGGTTTCTGAAGTGTGTATACACATGTAATGCAGCTCCCTGAATGACCCTGTGTAAGTGAACTTGTTTTTTCCCCTCTCCCAATATAAAAGGGGCATCTGTTTCAGGGTTGTGGTGGGCATGTAGAGGGTCAGGGTAAAGCAGGAATAATGAACAATGTAGAGATGGAAGACTTCTTTCTGACCTTGTACTTTCACAATGAACTTGCAGCTGGCTCGGTTATAGGCTCGATCGTAGGCAGTGTAACGAATCACATGCTCTCCTTCGGGAAAGTGAGAGCCAGGCTCAGGGCCCCGAAGTGTCACCCTGCATGGGACAGGGTAAGAGAGCCACTGAGGAAAGAGACTTCTTCGAACTGGGGTCTGGGGTACATCACTGTGGCATCAGCCTGTGCAGTGCGGTGTGGGTGGCCTGAGAAACTGCTGGGAGGTGTAGGGGGAATCCATTACTCACCTGGTGATAGTCCCATCGGCAGAGTCTTTCACCAAGGGCGGGTCCCAATATACTCGAGCGGTCAGTTTCTCCGGCTCTGCAATCTTCTCACGGGAGTGGGGACAACGGATCTTGGGGGGATCTATGTCTGCCAAGGTCAGAAATCAAGTGCTGACTCATGGGCCCCCCACCTTCCCTGGAGGGAACCCATAGAAGCAATACCACACTACTGGGTAGGTAGGAGATGCTCCCTCGGCTCAAGACGCTCAGGAAGCCCAGCTCCTGGGGAAGCGATCACTCTGTGGAGCTTGTGGAGCTTGTGCCCAGGGTGCCACCCTCATAGCGAGCAGGAATGCCTTCTGTGGTGAGAATTCCCCATCCTCTGTGGCTATAATGCCAAGGTGGCTCTTTGCAGCAGGACACATGGGAGTGACCACCATTTACCTACACATACGGGCTCGCCTCCACTCCATCGCCCATCTTCCATGCAGATTCGGCTGCGGTCACCTTCCAAGTGGTAGCCACTGGCACAACTGTAGTCACAGCGGGAGTCAAGGAGCACACCGTTTGTGCAGGTGTAAGTACCACTAGTGATGAATGGCAGCGCGTGGCATCGCATCTCTAAGAGAGAACCAAGTGAGTGGCAAGCTCAGTGGCCTGTGGGACTATCTGGAGGTGATGCCTGGGCATCTAGCACAGGGAGAACCATATCAGAGCCAGCAGAAAATACAGAAAACCCTACCCCAAACTGTCCTTACATTCTTGTGTCCAATTGCCTTTTTATTTTCACATTATAAAACACAGCAATGCTCTTGGAGGCCGGGGGCCGTCTTCAAGAAGTGAATTACTTGTCCAAGTGCATGGACTTCAGAATCACACCCAAGTTTGGATCCCAGCTCCACCTCTTCCTAGTCCTGTGACCTGAACAAATTACCTCATCTCTCTCTGTGTCTCAGTGTTTTCATCAGTAAAATGCGGATATTCCATAGGATTGTTGTGCAGATTAAAAGAAACAATGCATATAAACCTCTGGACTCACGTAGGGCCTCAGCAGCTGTTTCAGATCTTGTTCCTCAAATCCTAGATGCTCTTTAGCAAATGCAAAGCTCCCCCTTGAGTATAATTTTGGGGTTACCACAGTACCCCTCAGCTGAGGCTCACTTCCATGTGGAAGCAGGCTCGTCTTATATCTGTGTGAGAATACAAGTCAGACCAGTGCCTGGAGGGCCAGACTCGGTGGTATTTGATTAAAGAGGAATCTATGGGCTTTAGACACCACATGTGCTGGAAGTGGAGACTGCTTCCATAAATTGATTGTGAGCCTGACTGTGAGCGTGCCAAAGTCCAGTTTGAGATACCTGAGACTTGAGAGAAGTGGGCAGGTTATACTTTAGGTTATCTAAGTTCTAGCCTTGTGTATGTTCGATTATTGGCGCTTTGAATAAAGAATTCTAGATAAGCTATGTTCGTTTGGCTTCTTGGCCAAACCAGAATTGAAGATGAGTGCCTTTTATGTTTTCTAATATCCTCTACTTAAAAACCTATAGAAAAATGACTTCCTTGAAATCAAGGCTAAGGAAAAAGGTTTGTCTTTTCAGATGATTTTCTTAGTATAATATGACAGTGAAAATGGTCCAAGGTGTTTGTGCTTTTCTCTCTAAAGAGGAAGGACAAAGCCAGATCCGTGTTCAAACAAAGTAATTAACTCATTCCAAGCACGTGGAAATATGTGTGCCTCCATTCTTTTAAGTGATTTTATGTTCATTTATAGACATTTTAATTTTGTAAGCCCAATTCAAGTTCATTTTGGAAATGATGGGGTCTAAGTCCTAAACCAAAGTACTTATAAGTGCCTAGAGGCGTGTGGTGGCTTCCTTTTTTTCAGCTATCAAGCTTCCCCTTTCCTCCACAGCATCTTCTCTGACCAATGCCATTTCTCTCTAAATGCTCACTGCCATGCATCCACTTACACTGCATTCATGTGCACACATTTGTGTTTCTACCCCATTAGTTGATAAGCAGCCTGGGAGTAATTAAGGAACTGAGTGAGCTCCTGACGAGACCAATACAGAGTCCCCCACATGTGGCGGTTCTACAAATGGCATTGAGTGACGGCTATATGGATAGACAAAGCTTAGCTGGTAAACGTGGGTAGGCTGTAGAGCTTGAATAAGAGGTAGGGATTTGGGAGCTGAGGGAGACATGATTTAGAATGTGTGTATTAGTATTTCCACATTCTAGCCTTAGGGATTCTTCCTGACTTTCAGAAGAAAATGAAGAACAGCAGATGTCTCATACTTTCACTGCCAAGACCATCTAAGGCCTTGGGGCAGGAAGTACAGCAGTTTACCATCAGTGGGAAAGAGTCTGAGACCACACACATCCTTGAGAGCTCCAGAGAAAGGCCCAGGTTCACATTAGGCCCCAGGCCCAAACTTTATATGTACTCCTGGACCCTCTGAGTCAGAAGGGCTGGTTGTTGCTTAAATGCCCATATTGCTTGGGCAATAACCACAGGGAGAGAAAATGAACTAGAATGTTAGGATGGGGAAAGGGCCTGCAGGGCACCTGTGGAAAATTCTCAATTTACACTTGACAGAGGGCATAGTGACACCTCCAAGCATATACCCGCAAGTGGCTGACTGGCTGGCTGGCCTCTCCCATATACACATGTCAGTATATTCACACACACCACTTACGCCTGCAGTAGGCAGTTCCAGACCAACGGCGGCTTGGCAGGCATTGCACCGACCTTCGTCCAATCAGTCGAAAGCCCCGGTCACAGGAGAGCTCACAACGAGTACCCAGGCTGCTGTGATAATTTCCTCCCCTCGGAGAGTAGCATGTGGCTTCTCCATCCTGGATATTTAATGTATAACACCATCGGGGGACTGTAGCAATAGAAGAAAAGTAAGCTAGAAGTCCAGTCATCAAGACAGCGTGGTATTGGTGAAAAGACAGACACATAGATCAATGGAACAGAATAGAGAGCCCAGAAATAGATCCACACAAGTCTGTCTGTCAAAATGATTTTTGACAAAGGCACAAAAGCAATTCAATGGAGGAAAGCTAGCCTTTTGCACAAACGGTGCTGGAGTAATTGAACTTCCTTAGGCAAACAAAAAAACAAAACAAAACTTCAGCCTAAGTCTTATAACTTATACAAAAGTTAACTCAAAATGGATCGTGGACTTCAATGTAAAAAATAAAATTATAAAACTTCGAGAAAAAAATAGGAGAAAATCTCTGGTATCTAGAACTAGGCAAAGACATCTTATAGACATGACACCCAAAACTCAATTCATAGAAGAAAAACACCACAAAATTTAACCTTGTCAGAACTAAAAACTTTCGTTCTGTGAAAAGCACTGTAATAGACAGGAAAAGTCACAAACTGGGAGAAAATCTTTGCAAACCACATATCTGACATGGTCAGCTTGCTCTAAAAATCATGATCTGGTTTTTACTAGAGGGAGTAGCTAGAATATAAAAGCTCTCAAAACTTAACAGTAAAAAAGCAAACAATCCAGTTAGAACATGGGCAAAAGACATGAACAGACATGTCACTGAAGAAGATATACTGATAAGCAAATAAGTACATGAAAAGATGTTCAGCATCATTAGTCCGTAGAGAAATGAAAACTAAAACTACCACAAGACACCATTATACACCCATTAGGATGTCTAAATTTAAAAAAAATACATCAAATGTTGGTGAGGATGGAGAGAAACTGGAACTCTCATACACTGCAAGGGCAAATACAAACTGATACCACCACTTTGGAAAATGTTTTGGTAGTTTCTTATAAAGGTGAATGCACACTTGCAGTGAGCCCCTACAATTCCACTTTATGTATTTACCCAAGTGAAATGAAAACCTGTGGGGGCGCCTGGGGGGCTCAGTCGGTTAAGCGTCTGCCTTAAGCTCAGGTCATGATCCCAGGGTGTGGGGGGGGTCCTGGGATCAAGCCCCGCATCGGGCTCCCTGCTCAGTGGGGAATCTGCTTCTCCCTCTCCCTCTGCTGCTCCCCCAGCTCGTGCTCTCTCACTCTCGCTCTCTCTCAAATAAATAAATAAATAAATAAATAAATAAAATCTTTAAAAAAAAACCTGTGTTCATACAAAACACTGTATACAAATGTTTAAAATATCTCAATTCGTAATTAACAAAAGCTGGAAACAACTCAAATGTCCTGTGGCTGAATGGTTAAACTAACTGGTTTATCCATACAAAAGAAGGAAGCGCTGATGCACGCAACAGGATGAATGAATCTCCATCGCGGTTTGTGAAGTGAAAGAAGCCAGATTCAAAAGTCCGCGTACTGTAGGAGTCCATTTATATGACATTTTGGATTAGGCAAAAATACAGGGACTGATCAGGAGTTGCCAGAGATCAGGAGAAAAGGTTGGGGATAACTTCAAAGGGGCAGCCCTGGGCAAGCTTTCGAGGTGATGGAACTGTGGTGGTGGTTACCTGACTATATGCATTTGTCGCAACTCATAGAACTATATGCCAAAAAGAATGAATTTTACAGTAGGTAAATTTAAAATGACTAAAAAAAAATTTAACACAAATATATAAGCTAGAGAGAGGAAGGGAATGTGATACCAAAGAAGGCTGCTTAAGGATGAAAGATCCCAGTTCAGTACTGAGCACAAAAGATAATAAAGCCCTTAAATTATAAAGACATTAGAAAGATGCCTCATTGGCTATGCAAAATAAACGACTCTTCAGTGGGTTCAGATTTTTTTTTAAGATTTTATTTATTTTGCCAGAGAAAGAGAGCACAAGCAGTGGGAGCGGGAGAGGGAGAGGGAGAAGCAGGCTTCCCACGGAGCAGGGAGCCCGATGTGGGGCTCGATCCCAGAACCCTGGGATCATGACCTGAGCCGAAGGCAGACACTTAACGACCGAGCCACCCAGTTGCCCCCAGTAGGTTCAGATTTTAAAGGAGCACATAGAAGCAGGCATGCCCAGGGATGCATACATAGGATGACACAGATCTTTTAGCTTGGGGTTGGGAAGGCTTAAAGCCCCAGAAGAGCTCATTTAATTCCCAAATCCCAAGAGACAAAAAAGGAGCGGCTTTAAACAAACAAACAAAAAAGCACACCAGGAGCTAAAGGAACAGAGAGAGGCTAGGAACTTCTGCTTGAGGGCAGCTGGCGAATGAAGACAGATGATAGTGAGAAAACTATCTTCTAAGCAACAACATGCTTGTGGCTTCCAGTGTTAGTTTTGAGCCTGTGCCTGCGATACACGACTGCCATCTGGGGACACCATCTCCAAATTACAGAAAGTCTCTTAAGCACTACAGTTGCAGAGCTGTTGATGATAATGTCACCACTCAACGACTCTACATGGGAGGCGGGGACCCCAGCAATCGCTCCCATTCTCTTCCTCGCCTATATTCTGCCAAGGAAAATACACATCAGATTAGAATGAATGGAACAAGCAAGCGTAGGAAAGGGAGATATAAAGTTCAGGATAAACGCTGAGATGGTAAGAGAGGGCCTCGTTATTGCAAATAAGTTCAAATTTGCTGGCCCAGAGGAATCTTAGCATAAAGAAAACACATTGGAAGGCAGGAAACGAGCGAAAACACTCTTCCAATTTTGTTTTCGCCCCAGCTTTATTAAGGGTACAATCGACAAATAAAATCATATATATTTAAGACGTACAATGTGCTGTTTTAATGTACACATACATTGTGAAATGATTACTGCAATCAAGTTGATGAACGCATCCATAATTTCACATAGTTACCATTTTTTCTTTTTTGTAGGGACCACCCAGAAGATGTAGTCTCCTTGCAAATTTCAAGTACACAACACAGTATTATTAACTATGGTCACGATGTTGGACATTAGATCCCTGGAAGGAGGAAGGCAACCTCTGGGAACCACAGCCTGGTGAGGCTGACAGCGCTGAGAGCAGCAGGTTCTAGAATATTTAAACACAGGCTTCTGAGCAGTTAGAAAGAGAAGTGGTTATCTCCAGGTGCCTTGAAAAGCAAGTAATTCCGGACTGACCTCATTTCCTTTTTTGGGTGGGGTCACCAGACTGGTAGAGCAAGGTAAATGGTGGGTACACTATATGGAAGTGAGGCGCGTGACAATGCCTTTCAGGCCATTGATGTGGATGAGATGAAGACATACGTACAGGAGAGGTGACAGTACAGTTGTGGAGATTTACAATTGGTTGAACAACTGTACCCAAAGAATGCTGTTGGGAAACTGAAACTAAGGATGTGGCTAAAAATTCCATGGCAAAAATGTCTGGTAGGAAGTATGTTAGCCATTTATTGAGTAGCCACCATGAGCTGGGCACAGTGCTTTATATGTATATATTTTTATTTTCACATCCATCATTTCATACAGTTCCCAACAGCCCTGTGAGATAGGTAGGTGTTTATCTCTGTATTGCAGATGGGGAAGTAACTTGTCCGGAGTCCTTCAGCAACTAAGGGGCAGAGCTGGGATTTGAACCCAAGCTTTGTCTGGCTCTAAAACCCCTTATCTTGGGATGCCTGGGTGGCTCAGTCGGTTAAGCGTCTGCCTTCGGCTCAGGTCATGATCCCAGGGTCCTGGGATCGAGTCCCGCATCGGGCTCCTTGCTGAGCAAGGAGCCCGCTTCTCCCTCTGCCTGCCTCTGTCTCTCTCTCTCTGATAAATAAATAAAAATCTTAAAAAAAAAAACCCTTATCAAAAACTAATGATGTAATATATGGTGATTAACATAACAATAAAAAATTAAAAAAAAACCCTTATCTTTTTCTAATCACACTATCTACCGCTGCAGCGCCTTAGGCTGCTATTTGGAAGTATAAATTTACATTTTTTGAATAGGTAATATAGCCACATGATTTGAAACACAAAAAGTATAAAAAGTTACACGGTCAAGAGTCTCCTTCCCACCCCCTGCTCCCATGTCTACCCCCACTTAGCTCCCCCCGTAAAGAACCACTGTTAATTGTTTCTTTATGCATATAAAGCAGATCTTGCTCTAGATTCTTTTTACCACCCCCCTTCTTTTTTTAAAAAAAGATTTTACTTATTTATTTGAGAGAGAGAGAACGAGTGGGGGGAGTGTCAGAAGGAGAGGGAGAAGCAGACTCCCCGCTGAGCAGGGAGCCCAACGCAGGGCTCAAACCCAGGACCCTGAGGTCATGACCTGAGTCGAAGGCAGACGCTTAACCGACTGAGCCACCCAGGCACCCCTACCCCCTTTCTTTTAACACATAGAGTAGTATATTATGCTACCGTTCCCACCAATGTTTTTAAAAATAAACTTAACAATGTGTTTTAGAGACCTTTCCATACCACTACGTAGCAAGCATGCAATTTATTTAAATGAAATAACATTTATAAAATACACAGCACAACAACTGGCACACAATATGTGTTTGTCCAGGGTGATATTGCTGGAAGGTGGAGGGGCTGGGACTTGAAATTCAGACCCATGTCCTCTTCTCTGTGCAGCTGTCCACCTATCTCTTTTTGGGGATTAGAAGAGAACAAAGTGCTGACAACAGAGGTGAAAGGGCCTCATCTGTGATTATCTTCAGATAACCCAGGCAGAGTTACCAGCTTGCCTAGGGTTGAAGCAATATGCTGGAAAAGCGGTGCCCCCAGAGTACTGGAGGCATACCTCAGACAACGGGTTTCTGACTCCACTCCAGGAGTCAGGATAAGGGAATGAGAGAAAGTTCAAGATTAGCCAAAATGGCACCAAACTACATGGTCAGCTTGCTCTAAAAATCATGATCTGGTTTTTACTAGTTAACTTTTTCTTTTTTTAATTTTTTTTAAATGATGGGTTACGTTTTTGATGAAAGAGATGGGAGGAGCATGGCTTTAGAGTCCAACAGACTGAACTGGGTCTAAATTC